CCTGAAGGGTCTCCCATTAGAAAGCAAAACACACTTGTAGGCAGAGATGACATGGTAGGTTCGGGCATCCTCCAACTCAGTTCTTATCAGAACTATGGGGATGAGAGGGACACAAAGAAGGTCGTGTGGGAGCTGGGACCAGGGTGATGTGTGCTTCTGAAGGTCGGAACACATAATGAAGCGGTCACACCACTTCTCCTAAGGGAGGCAGATTTGTCACAGCACATTCTAGGGAAATCAACTAACTTGTCATGGGCTCTGCTACTTCAAGAGGGCAGGGTCTTAGAGGAGAAAGGGCAAGGTGAGGTGTAGCTAGCCCCAAGGTGATAGAATTTGAGCCAACCTCTCTCCAGGGGACACAGAGAACTTTTTGAAGCTGATTATCCTCTGAAATACCCTCTGGTTCCTGGAAATACCTCTAGTCTTGGAGAAAGATCAAAAGTTCCTGGAAAGGAGCCACAACAGGGGCAAGACTAGAGGTTCACTAATAAAGAGACAGTACCCTGGATTCACAGCATGTGGTGCCAAGGACTAAAAAGAAAATAAATGAGGGAAAGTTAAATTCATTCTCACCTACAGCAGCCACAGAGGCCTCCAGAAGGCAGGGCAGCTTCGAAGGCTGCTGGAACCACTTGCCTGAGTGTCCTGGATGACTTGCCAGGGCTGAAACTGAGCTATATTCCCAGTGACCCTCCACATGGCAGATCCTGCCATAAGAAGGGCCCTTCTCTAGACTTAAATTTCTGCCCAATCCTAGCTGCTTTCAGAGCATTTCAGCCTAAGATTTTCACATCTTGGACATCACACTTGGACGGACTTGTTCCTAGGCATGGTGACATCTCAGCAATGCAGACTGATGGAATGGAAAAAGAAAGGACTGACCCTGTGCTAAAGGGAAAGCCACAGGTCTTTATAGATGTCCAAATGAGTATAGCAAACTTGAATTTCAATCAGGCTACAGTTTCTACCAAAGAAAATCTATTCAGGGGGACTACTATAAAAATAAGAAACCCAATTGGAATAGATCCATGTAAAAAGAATCAGCACTTCAAAGGGTACCTGGGGCCACATATGACCAAGTTCACTGACTAACAGGCTGAATGCAACAAGGTATATTCTAGGTTTCTCTAGATACAAGCCTGAGCCTAGCAAACATTCTGTTAGTCTTAGTCAGAATTTCCTCAGGGGGATGGGCTTGGTTGAAGACACAGTACCAGCAACTCAACAAGTCAAGAACTAATCATCTCAGTGCTGGAGTGTTCTCAGATGTTCTAATTTTCTGAAATTTTCCCAGTCAGGTCCAATTTAATCCCTGCATACAAATAACTGTATCAAAGTTTGACTCTTGTTCTGGAGGACTGGTTCTCAATACATATCTCTAGAGTTGATGAATTTTAAATTCAATCTTAGTGTTACAACTAATGACTCAACATCTGTCCCCTCCTGATGATTAGAAGTGAAGATGCCTTCCAGGTTTAAACTTTACCTGGATCACATTAATTCTGCCCTCGAAGTTCTAGAAGTTCTTTAGTGATCACCTTCATACTCTATCCCATTTGACATTATTTTTAACCCCTGCCTCATTTACTCTAGCGATTATACTAAGAGATTCTCATCCAACTAATTTATCCCTTGTCTACAAGCTTAGAATTTATCTAAACCCCAGATACTTTACAGGAACATTTTAATAAAAATGTGAGGTGGAAATGTAGACCCAAACATCCATAAAAACACCTAAACTACCTTAACTATATAACTTTTTTTCCCAAGTAATATTTTATATCAAGGTCCAGTATGTCCAAATTACAGACACATGCCAAGCTGTTCAAGTGAGAGCAGGGAGGGACTTGCTAGGGCAGATCCTTAAACTTCCAAGGGACTCAGAGGGTCCACAGGGAAAAGTAAAAGACTCATCAACTTGGATGAAATCACTTGAAGTACAAAGGAGAAAATGAAGGCCCAGAGAGTAGGAGTCCTCTCAGAGTCACAGAATGTCAAAGCCTAAACAAGAAACAATGTTTGTTCTGATACTAGACTCTGCTTCTAAAATATACCTAGCACACTCATGGAATCAGATAATCATATTCATCAGTATATCCATTTGATGTGGTCCCCTGTTTGGAAAATGTGTACATAAACAAACCCAACAAAATGTCACACTGTATTTTATTTATTTCATTGAGTCTTATAAGAGTCACCACAAATCTTTTGTTTTAGGAAAATCAGAAAATTCTCAGATTGAATAAAAAGAATAAATTGACACATTAGAGAAATAATTCAAATGTACTTTGAAAAATGTACTTCTCTAATAAGTCATTGAAATAACCTTCCAAGGGAAAGCTTACTGATTTAAATAGACTCATGGATGTATGTGTTCATGATCAATGCAAAGGGCCAGAATCAGCACTTGCTTGCAGCACATGCAGCAAATTTAACAGGATATGAGATTTGGCAATACCTGCCACTGAAGGGTGAAGTTAGTCCAGGGACTCAGGTTTTATAACATGCATATGGTGACCATATTTTCTAAATGAAAAATCAGGACACATGGTTGACAAGTAAGAATATTCTTATGGGGACAATGGAATAGATAGATAAAGCAACCAGGTCTGTTCCAGAGAACCTGGAACATATGGTCCAGAAAGAAATCTGCAGAGGCAACTTTGTGAGGCTTGTCTCCTTCACGATTAATTGTCTCATTCCAGGGTTAGGGAACTGGTGTGTATTCCCAGGATCCAGGTCCTTAAATTTCACCTTGTCCTCCTAAGGCAAACTTCACTAAGAAAAAGTCTTTGAAAACTTAAAGTTCTATAAAAAATATGAGCATGCATAATTATTAACATTATAAAACTATAATTAATTTATTGATCTGTTGGACAGAATATTTGTTGTCCATTCAATATGTATTTATATGCATATTTTTGTATTAGGACCTGCATTGGGCATTGAGAATATAGGGATAAACCAAGCCTGATCCTCACCCTCAAGAAGCTTCTGGTCTAAAAGATGGTATATTAAGACAATAATCATCTTAGCATAATTTAACAGTGAAAAATCCATTTGCCACCCTTTCAATGACTTTGTGGTGAGGTGGTGGAACATGTTTTAATATCAGACCTAAGTTTAGTTACTTAATATCTGTGTACACTAGGTCAAGTCACTTTTTTGCTTTGAGACTCAGTTCTCTCATCTGTTATGTGGCGATAATTAATATTCTTGCTTCATAAGTTAGAAGAGTCAACAGGATCACGGCTGTAAAATGCTTTTATTGAAGCAGCCCTACACTTTGACTCTTTATAGAAGAGGAAAGCAGTGGGGTGCAGAAATAATGTCAATATATTAAGGCATCCAGATAAGTAATTTTTGCAGATAAATAATACTAAATATAAGAACTTACATAGCTCTTGGTCAGACACAGAAAGAAGTGACTTGCCTCAGGTGAAGGTTCTGCTTTGTTTATATCTCTGGTATAAACACAGTGGAGCCTGTTGTTCTATTGCTATCTGAAAAAATAGGCATCAAGTAGGACCAACTAGCATCTGTGATCTTTCAAAGAGCTAAGTCCTTGCACAGCAACCAAGAGCACTTTTTTCAGGTGGGAAAATTAAGGTATTCTATGTAGTGGTCGGGCAGGTCGGTTTCAAGTTCTTACTGCACACAAACATATTCAAATATTTGAAAAGAACCCTTCTGAATATCCAGGAAGGCATGTCCCCTACATCATGTCCTGGTAGGTTGGTCCTTAACCAGAGAAATGTCTGAGGTCAGTCTTCAGACAAAGGAGAAAAGGATGAGGTCCTAATGGGGCATGTAACTTCCACATCCCTTTATCTCCCTAATATCCTGCTTCGGACACTAGAAACTTGTAGCCTAAGACCCTATCAGTTGCCCAAATCTCAAGCTGGTGGTCTTCTTTCTCTTTTCTCTGTCCAGATAGTCAAGGGAATGAGTATAGATCCTTTCCCTGAACCAGCCAGAGGATAGCAAAGGAGCAGGCGTCATTCTGCATGCAATACTCAGTGTGAGGAAGCAGAGGCAGGAACAGGCATCAGAGAAGCAGTGCCTCAGTCTGTGGTTCTTTGCTGGCTACACTCCAAAGGGCCAGATTCCAGACATGTAGGCAGTGGAGACAGAAAAGGAATGCTCTGGGGGCCCGCAAAGCCAGTGAGGCACCTGGGAACTTAGCCACTGCTGACATGTCCAGCATTCTCACAGTCACAACTGGTTGAAGGCAATAAACCCTCTTTTGCTTAAATGGCAAGTGATCTGGCTGTTCATTTTCACTTTCAATGAAAGCACAATAGAAAAAAACATTTAGGGGAAAGAAAAATAACCCTGACTCACTCCCTGAGCAGTGAAGCAGGAATTAGAAGAGATGCCCTACATCTAAATAGAGCGCAACAATGAGTCCTTAAATGGGTCCCCTCACTTCCATCATCCCCATACATTTAAATCTCTTCCTTCTTTTTTATGTCAAAACTCTTGTTAAGCAGAGGATTCTCCCTGGATGGGTGTAATATAAATCATGATTGCCATGATATTCTGATTTTGACATTGATGGATGGGCTCAAGTTCACTATGCAAATCCTCCCATGTGCATTCATAGACTCAGACACTAGACATGGTCCCTGGGGAGTCACACCTACTAGCTGCATATGGCTTCCTGAGGCCTGGACCTACAGGTGGGTGACTGACTATGTAAATAAACCAATGAAGAAAAGTTTTACTTATGGCAACATCATTTCAGAAAGTTCTTTCCTCCTTCTTCCTTCCTTGCAAAAGTTTATCTTCCCAAACATCTCAGCTTATCAGATCTTATGCTGTAATGAAACGAGAACTCCCAGGTCTTCATTAAGTGTAGATTTGTTTAAAACTCCAAGACTGCTTTTGTAATCACAGTTTTAACTCTCAGGCAGATTGCTTCTTACCAATAGAGTTTTGTGTTTGTTTTGGTTGCTTCCAAGCTGGTCTATAATTGTCTTTACCCTCTTTGGTTCTAGGGATCGAACCCAGGGTTGCACATGCCAGGCAAGAACTCTACAGCTGAGGGGCATCCCCAGCCTGACAACAGAGAGGCCTGTGTGTCCACCTCAGCTCTGCTCCTGAAGAAAGGCCAAGCCCTCCCTCCTGCCTTTAGGCCTGGGTGAGCCCACCTGCATTACTGCGTCACCACATCATTTGCCTGGAAAGCTCCAGCAACCTCGAACAGATATTCAAAGTGTTTAAGGGAAAAATAAAATACCTTAATGGTATTGCCAAATAACTTGTGGAGAGAGAACCGCAGAAATCACCACAGGCCTGACTGGGAAGTCTATGAATCTTTGCAAAGTAAAATCCTTTTAGCACAGGGTCCCTCCAGGCAACAGAAAGTGCCCTTGAGTATATAAAGATGGATGCGGGTCTGCTGTCCACACCTCCAGCTGCAGGAGAACTTGTGCATTTTTTAAAACGATGTTTATCAGGTCCAGGTTGTTTTTCCAACTCAAAACTGAGACATGAAAATGGAATTTTTAGCCAGTAACTCATACATTTAGATTCCTGGTTTTTAGGTTTTGGAAAAAATGCACCTAGTTGTTTTCTTATTACAATACTGCTGGTTTTGTTCACCGGTCCGTGTTTTTCTTGGACTGTGGTAGAGTGGAATGTTTTAAATTATGGGCTCTTGCTTTTTACCCTCCAATGTCTACTAAATAAGTCCATCGTCTAATTCTAAAATTGTGAAGCAGCAAACATGCACTTGTAGCCAACAAAGCTACATTTTTATTCCAGAAAGGGTATTTCTGTTCTAAATTTACAGCAAAACAGCTCTGGAGACAAAGGCAGGATTTCAGCCAAACCAGACGTGCTCCTTTATAATGGCACGTCGCTTCCAATACCCTTGCTAAGTATTCTACCTTACTGAAGGTTTCTTTTTGCTATTAAAATCTATAGTAAGTGTTTTGAAGCCTCAGCTGATGTTAAGGGGGGAAAAAGGATTGACTTTGTTTTGATTTAGCCATTGAAACAAAGCTGAACAACAACAAAAAATAAACCCAGGATAAAGAAATATGATATGATTTGGAATCAAAGACTAAGTCATATTTTAAGTTTTCATTACCAACAACATTACCCATCCAAAGCAGTCATAAATTAAATTTAAATGAAATGGATTAAATCCCTCTTGGTGGAGCTACTGCAATTTGGCTAGACTCCTTGTCCCTCTCTTCTACTGTAAACCTTTTTGTGCCAGGGGTTTGGGGCTGGATTATGGATGACCTCTAATGCCCCCTCCCAAACTGAGACTCCAGGACTTCATAATTCTGAAACTTCAAGCCATTCTTAACCTGTGATTCTAAGAGTCTCGGATTCTCTATTCTGAGCGAATCACAGCCATCATTCACAGATCATAGGGTGATTTCCTACCCTTTATAAAGAGCCAAAAGAGCCTTGGGTCCTTGTGAAGTAGAAAGCCAGTGCAAACATCATCTTCCCCTCTGAGAAGTCATCCAGTTATTGATCCTGATCCTGCTAGCAGCTGGGAAGTCCAAGGTAAGATGAGAAGCACTTTTTAGGACTTCTGACCCCAAGTTGCTTATAAGTAAACAATTGCAGCCAAGCTGTGACCATGCTGCGTAATAAAAAGAGTTTCAGAGTCAGCATTTCTACTTAATTCTTAAAAGGAAAAAAAAAATCAAATACAGGCTGAAAGATCCTAATTTTCCCCTTCTCTCATTTTTTTTCCCCTTTTGTTTTTCTTTGAGTTTGAATTAGCTTAAGGACCACTTGAAAAATTGTGGCCTAACAAGAGCATGATTGTATTACTGTTCCCATGTGACACTGGTGCATCGGAGGGTGGGGAAGGGATGACTGTTTAGTAGCCATCACCTCACAGCATCCACACTAGCTTCAGTTGATCAAAGGCCAGATTCCTGCTCCGTGTGCGAGCCAGTAGGGTGAGAACATGCTTTCTGTGTTCTCAGGATGCCATATGAAACCAATTCCATTTACAAGGACTCTTTTCTTCAGTCCTTATTTTAAATCACCTTTCCCCACTTCATATCTACTCTTTACAGAATAATACTAGAATTGGGGATTGTGACAGAAAGTTTCATTACTGGGAGAGAGGAAATCATTGGGAGAGAAGGGGACCAGTTTCATGTTTGTAAAACATATCCTGCAGGAATCTAACTCATCTGATTCCTCCTCAAGTATTTTTTGTTACATCTTTAGCTCCTGATAGTTGTTGACCTTGGCCCTTACTCAGATGCTAACTCTGATATTAACCTTCCAGGCCTTAAGTGGTCCATTGGGCATAGCTTTGCCCAGTGCCTTCCCAATTCCTCCTGAGAGCCATACTATTTGCCTGCCGTGACTTCAGTTCCCATTCCCTGTCATGTTGTGCTCCCTAGTCAGGGTAGGACATCATGGAATTGCCCATCTTTTAATGCTGAGAGGGAGGGGAGCAGTTTTCATTAAGGCTAAGATGTTGTGTGATTCTAAACTTGGGCACTATGTGACATAATCAGTTTGACAGGGATGGCAGCTGCCACCACACATGATTTGAAAGACACAAAATAACCTTGCTCTCTCCCCCCATAGTGGTCATGTCTGAGGGTCTAGAAGGCTCAACCTCAGGACAACCTATGGCAGGTTCCTGTGAAATGAAGTCAGTGAGTTTCTGGGAAGCATACAGAATCCTGAATTTGTTCTATAAAGCATGGATTTTAAACAGGTCCTCAAATGTTTCCTATTCTATCTGCTTAAACTGCCATAATCCCCAAGGAAAACTCACTCAGCTTTGTACAATTCTGCATCTCACCAAGTCACTTCTACTTTCTGTGTAAATGGTGATCTCGGGATGTGGGGTTCATGACTGAGTTTTGAATTCTTCTTTATAGTTCTGTTTTTTGTATGTTATAAAAATTTTCTAAAAATCAAATATTATTTCATTTCAGAAAAAGTAAGCTTCATTGTTTTAAAAAATAGCAAAAGTAAGTTCCTTCTTATATGAGCCAAATTCTGCATCCCAAACATTTTCTTTCCTAGCCTTTGTCCTGGCATCTCAACAATGAGCCTAATCTCTCTTCCATTTGACATGCATCCATATGCCTTAAATATCAAGTACATCCTTCTTTCTGCTTCTGCTCCAATATAACCCTGTATGTGCTCCTCATTCATATGACTTCTGCTCCCTTCTCCAGCCTGGCCAAACACTGTCTGATCTCTAGCCTATCACTAGTATTCAACAGTGGTTTAGACCTGAATACAATACAGCTAGCATGAACTTGCTCAATACAGATGATGGCTCAGTATCATCCCCTTTAATCTAAGCAGTATATGTCTATATGTCTATAATACAACCTTTTAGTGTTTTTTTCTTAGCAACTATAACACAATTGTGGCTTTTTAGATAACTAAAAAGTTATCTAAAATGTTCCTGACACATATACACATAAATAAGTTTTTTTCAATCTTATAAGATGGTAACTGATTTTTTTTAATTAAATAAAAGTCTTTGCATTTATCTTGTTATGCTACATCTTATACTTTGGGCCCATTATTTTGTTCCTCTAATATTACACTTGGTCCTATCATTTAAATTCCTGTGATTACTCTGACCTTTGCATCCTTCATAAATGGAATGCTTGTGTGCTAAACAAGCCTAAGATGGGCCAGGGGAGACAATACGAGGAAGGACCAGGCTCCAGGTGAAAATAGAAGATCCTAATACACTGGAAAGAGCAACTGGAGAGATGAGGCTAGTTAGCACATACAAGTCTCAGTTCCCTCTCATGGTGATTTTGCATTTCCTCTTTCGGGGATTGTGGTAAAGATTAAATAATCTGAAGATAATGCCTAGAAAAAAAATGTCACAGAGAGGATGATCGTTAGTATTATCTTCACTTCCTACTTTGGTAAAATGGCTCATACAATAATCTATTCCACACTTGGTTGAAAATCCTGCAGAAAACCATCTCTGGGCCATTTGTGGTAGAATGGCTTAGAGTCTGCCAAAACACTGAATCATAGGTTGCCCTTCAGAGATGCACTTGAAATATCACTTCATTGTCTGTCACTTTTTCACAATGGCCTGTACCAACTGTCACAATGGTATGAAATAAAAAATGTAATTATTTGTAATAATATGGTATCTCATATTTATGCAGACTTTTAGGGTTTTTAGGAAACATCCACATGCATAATCATCTGTTACTCATAGCAATTCTGTCCATTTAGGATTTCTAACCCCATATTATAGATTAGCAACTTGATATCTGAGAAGTCTCAATGACTTACTCAAAGTCACATAATCAATGACTGTGCTAGTACATAGCCCAGAACTTGTGATGGTTGGTTTGGCACTCTTTCATTCCACCGGAGGTTATTTTGGTTGACAGAATGACTAAAAGTCCCAACGGTTACCTCTAAGTATATCCATAAAAGGGGACTTGGCTTAAATCACGTTAGACCCATTTCATTATATGTTATACAAATCTGCTTATCAGATTGGTCCAGGTAAAGAGCAAAATTCCAAGAGACAGATAAGCTTCCATAGGGAGGGACAAGCCAAAGGTACAAGGAGTTATTCGTGGCTGTGAGATATGCAAGAAACCCAGAGATGAAAGCAGGGCAGTGAGCAGTGAGGGCCAATGAGCACTGGGTCTTTGTCAACTTCACACCTGCTTCTCAAGGCCAGTTCTATAATAATTTTTAGATCTGCACCCTTCTGCCCAAAATATTAACTAGCACCTTTCAGCTCTCCAACTCTCCATGAGCCTTGGTTACTTCTCCAAAGACCAGGTATTATTCACCTGCACACATTTGCAAAGTAACTGCTATGGACTGTGCCAAGGAAAACACAATCCACCATGAGGCCAGGGTAAGAGTTGGGGAGACTTGATTTAATCCAGTGGTGCTCAGCTTTTCATGGCTAAGGACCCCTTGTGTTCTCCCAAGGACCTTAGAAAGTCAGACCTAGGATGGCAGCAGTGATCCAAATTTTTGATTCACAAGAAATAACCAGCATCACCAGTCACAGGCAAAGAAATTTCATCCCAAAGCACAAAAATCTGACATATTTGTAGCCTGCTTGATCTTATTTTGTGGAAGTGTGCATTTTCCATTAGGCTTATTTATTTATCTGAATATTTGTATGCATTCATG